TGAGTCTTGTAGATGCATGGCTGCTCTATAAATGAGTAAGCCAATGATTTGTAGTTTATGTGATTTGTGAATCATGTGAGATGTCAATTTTATTATGTTAAAATGCAACTTGCCTTTTGCACTTAGATCAGTTTTCATGGCTGCTCGTCCCTCCATCCACCATTCGGTAGTATATTCTGCATCAAAAAATGTATTCATATTAATAATGGTATGTTATATGTACAATACACATGCCGCACTGATGGATAAACACAAGTCTTCATGTTCGAAACACTGGTCGGAACCTTTTAGTGTCTAGTTGGTTAGGTTTAGGTCAAATGATTGACTGCAGAAAATCAATACTGCATGACCATGAATCTGACAATCAAAACATGTGAATTCTTTATCTAGCAACATTAATGTTTTAAACTTTCAACTCTACTTTTAAAGTTACAAATCATGTCAGTGGTATTTTTTTCTGATTGTAGAACATGAACATATTCCCTATATTAATTTCTCGCATATGTGGTATATAAGACGAGATAGCACAATTTCATTTCCGTATAAAACAATGTCATATATTTATTTGGTTGTTTGTTTGTTTATTTTTTTGGTGCATATATTTCATTGCTTTTTCGCATTGTGGACAGGATTGAAAACAATTTTAACGCAATATTTTGTTATTTTTGCGCTTCAAAATTAAAGTAAATAATTTTCCATTGATCTGTATTGAAACACTGAACACAGTAAAATTACCAGCTGACAGAATTGCGAACCTTATGCTGGAAATCACACAAAAAAACATTGTTTTTACTCCTTGAGGAATAACCATTCACTCCGCGCTGCTATCCTGGATCTCGATTGTCACCCAGCATGCACTATATTTGATAATATTTGTTACCAGCAAGCGAGTATTAAAAACGGCAAATAGTTGCTGTGCATTTATTTGCCACATTGTTGTCTCTGATAAACAAAGTCTCTCGGATTTAGCGATGCTGCACCTCTGAAAAATGTTTGTGTGGAATTTAATAACATAATAAAAATAATAATATTCGCACAGTAACATACGTATTTTACCGTTAATTGTTCATGATATAATTTGTAGGTCAGTGTCACAGGTCATTTGGTGGTAGCTTAAATCGAAAGGTTGGAGTGTATATTATGCCAGTTTGTTTATTACGTCTAGTCATTTTGGCCAGAGATGACGCTGTCCGTATTTGACAGATTTGATATGTGTGACTATTTGAAAATGAAATCTTCCTGAATAAATTAACATTCTTCCTGCTGCCTGTCACAATTAGCATCTTGAGATGTGTGTTGCCATCTCATGATACTTTGGGTAGGAAAATCCGTTACAAGCTACACGTGCTTCTACCAGCTATAGTATCTTACATGGTGAAGTTGCCGAATCTACATAGCTGTCTGTTGTTTGTCAAACCGTCACCTGTGCAAAATCCATTGTCAACCAACATCAAGATATTAAATCGTGCTATACAACTAACATCATATGGAACTGGGTCAACAAGTAAAGTAGTATTTGACGTTGTTATTCCTATGTTATTGAGTTCTCCGTTACTGCATTTGATTATTAATGTAAATATTGCTTTAATACCAATATATTATATATTTGATTTTGGCTACCTTATATCTGTATTATGTTTGACATCTCTACCATGCTATAGTTTCTCACAGTAAGATTTATCTTGTTATAGTCAGTAATTGAGGGGGAATAATAGGCTGCTTCGGTGATATTAGACCAATTTGAAATTTAATATAATATGGTCAACAATTTTATGGGATATATTTTTTTCTCGTTTTAATGCCATTTCGATATTCAAATTAAAAACAAAGTAAAATGTATGGATCTAGTATAATTGTAAGTGTGTTATTTCGGCGTTTCATAATTGCGAGAGATTGAAACGTGGGTATAAAATAAGTTTGTATCCAATGGCCAACTAGCAATTTATTCATGATTCCACCCATAAACAGAAAATGTTGGTTATACACATGAAGATATATAGGATCTCAAATATATTTTCATGTGGCACGAGATTTGTTTAACTTAACACATTGACAACTAACAGCCTATATGTTGGTCACGGGGTAATGTGTTAATTTGCATATAATGCATAAACTCACTTATTGGTTATTTTACAAGGATATACAACTTTCCTCATAGTCATAATTTGTTGTATACATTTCAAGATAAAATTATGCTATTTATGAATTTCGGTCCGTTGGCTGATATAGCTCTAGTCTATACATTGTGTTTTACAATTGAAAATAGCATCACATTAGAAAGTTAAAATTGTTACAAAATCTGACCAAGATCCACCAAGGTTTTCAACACATACATATTGCAGCAACTGGGCTAGCTATTTTCAAGATAAAGTGGAAAATAACATTTACTATAAATTACAAATATTCATTAAAATTACATAATTACAGGTAAAGTCACAAAATTAACAAACTGATTATGGTCAACTGGAGGTGTCATATGAAATATCAAAGCACACATGCTAGAGGTTTTAAAGAAGTCAAATATAGCATTTGTTAACAGAAATTGATTTGAACATATCCCCACAAAAAGAACAGATCTAAAATAGGTCAACCCATAGTACCTACATACCAAGTATCCAAGCTGGTAGATTTCGAGAAGTCTGAAATGCAATTATGGGCAGAGGACTGGTAATTATATGAACAGCTCGACTCGACAGCAGAGCTAAGGATTATGTATGTCAGTCAGCCGTTTTGGTTCGAATACATTCAGAACATATTGTTTGTGCACATGTTACACAAAGTACTCGACATATGTGACAAATGAATGGATTTGGTTATAAAGGTTCTGAATATTACTCTGAATGAACAGAAGGAGACAATTATCCCTGATTTAAACTTCATTGACTAATGGCTTGAATTGTTCAATGCTAGATTAACTAAGAAACAAACTTATGGCATTTGGTGTAATACGAATGCCAATTGAATACCATAACTGCTAGAATGTTATTACTGACTCACAATTCTTACATGTACATTCTCATACAAGAGGTTACTGTATTTAGTGTACATTGGTATCGGTAACAATATATAGGAGTTTAATTACTTACCAAAGCATATACATGGTTTTCTGTAATGCATCCGTAATCTGTGTTCGCATACCTCGCAAGGATGATAGCGTAATAATCTTCCAATGTGGTCTGGTACTGTCTGCAGTTCATTTCCACATAACGATAACTTGTACAAGGAATGCAATTCTTCAATAATCTGCCATGGAAATTCCTTTAACTTATTGTCGTTCAGTTGTAGACGAATCAGCTTTAACTTCTTTATTCCTGGTAAATATAAAGAATGCAGAATTTAAATTTCATGACAGTTGACAAATTTCCAAAAACACACTACAATTTTTTTTAAATAGTAAATTACTATTATATTTATTCAAATATTTCGACATTTTGTTTCAACGTGATCAAATTTGATTTATGTTAATAATAAAGCAAAACAAATCAGATATGCAAATAGAACAGTTCTACAGAAAACAGCTTAACTAAAGCCCTTTCACATCCCATGTTGATGACTGTTTTTTTCAAAATGAGATACTAGAGCAATGCATGAGAAAGAAAACCAATATTCTGTTCAGTTGAGTCAATAGAAAAGTGAACAGAATATCACCACATTTCTGTTTTATCTGGATTAAGTAAATTGTGATTAATAATTGTCCGTGAATATACATTTTGATCTATATGTTACTCATTTGCATGAGCTCTCATTACCGAAGAATGTGTGAATGTTCTTGAGCCTGGAATGCTCACTAAGGTAGCAGGATAGTCTTTTGCTAGACAAATTTTGGACAGAAAGAAAATTAATCAGAACATGATGGCTAAAACTTACCAAACCTATACATTTATGAAAAAGTTAAATTTTGCCAGACATTCTCGAAAAACACTTATTTGCGGGCCACAAAGATGCGATAAATAAGTAAATGGGTGAATGAATATTTGAGAACAAAATTCTTTCTTTTATTCAATTATTACACTGACAAGATTTTATGTTTGTATCAGAACATGATGGCCAAAACCTATACATCAAAGCTATACATTTATGAAAACTCATTAATTTTGCCTGAAACACTTATTTGTCTTTGTTTTAGGGTCACACAGATAAATGGGTAATTGAATATTTGAGGACAAAATTATTTCAATTATTCACTTATTATAGCGACAAGATTTTTTTCTAGTGAACTTGTATCAACAATACTGTTGCAAAATTTTAAAAAAATGTTGTAAAATAAGTGGAACATTTTTCAAACGTTTAGGTATACTCTTGAATTTTTTATAGAAATG